TTTATTGAATGGAGGTCACAGCCAGAAAAGAGTGCTGCCCATGAGTGGATGGGTTGATCTGGCCTCTGCTACCAAAGCCGTCAGGGTGGCCAGGCTCTGCTGGGCTTTATTCATGACTTTGGAGCTACCTATGTCTTTGTCTGCGGTTCCTTCCTGACTATCACATGAGATTATTCTGATTTACTTTTGTCTCTTTGCATTCTTTAACTTCCACTGACTTTGTGAAAATAGAAGAGTCCAGCTATTGGTAAAATTGGACAGTAGATCGAGTTGTATTTGATTTTCTTTTTTTCTTTCTTTTTAAAGAATTATTTATTTTATTTATAATTATTATTTTATCTTGATATAGTCATCAGGAAGAGAGAGAGAGAGAAAGTGAGACAGCAAGCCAAGTCCTGGTTTGAACCCAGTCAGTCATGTGGAATCCAGCGCTCCAAACAGCATGCCACCTGTTGGCTCCTGCACTTGCTTTTCCACATTTGCCCTGAATAGCTGTAGGGAAGCTCTTGTCTCATGGCTTACTCTTATCTTTTGTCTAATATCTAGAAGTTTCTTCCAGAAGTTTTCTTTCTTAGTTTCAACACTTCCTTAACTTTCTTAGTCTTTACATACCCAGTTTGTAATTTGTTCAGTGACAGAGATTGTGATCAACCAGCTTTTTTCTCCTTACCGAACTCCTTGCCAGAATCTCGACCTCTCTATTTTTTTGACTAACCCCCTAATGATTATTAGTCTCTCTTACTATTTATAATATTTAATGTTTTCTTCTATTTAAAATTTACAGAAGTTCGTTATTGAAGATTCAGAAAATCCATAGCAATATACAGAAGAAATTAAGAGCACCTGCCAGTCTGTGTTGAAGGGATAGTCACATTTTAAAGATATATTGGGACCAGCAGATGGCATAATGGTTACATTACTAGACTCCCATATAGTTGACCACAGTTCAAGTTCTGGATCCAGTGGTTTAAAACTCAAACCAGGTACATGTGCATGAGTGCCCAAAATCCTGAGAGGAGAATGGAGGAGAAGGAATTGTATCGTGGCAATCCCCCTTGAGGGGGTGATTTCTTGCTTTCTGTCTCTCTGATTCTCTCTGGTTCTCTCTGGCGAGCACACGTTTCCTGTAGCAAAAAATCACTCAAAAAAAATATATGTATATATAGGTACATTTGGGGCCAGTAGGTGGCATGTGGTTAAGGTGCTGGACTCTAACAGGCTGACCATGATTCAAGTCCCAGACCTGGTAGTTCACTTCCTCATCCCCCCTCTCTTCTATCTTTCTCTGGTCAAATTAAAAAATAATAAAAATGATGATGATGAATAAAATTAAATAAAATAATTCTTAAAAAAGAAAAATATATACATTTTGTTTATAGTTGTACAAAATATATTTATTTTTAATAAGCTAAGAATTAGTTTAATTCTACCTTATTACTTAATTTTTATATGTATTTTCTGTCAATAAACACTTTTCTGGAATTCATTTTTTAATTTTAGGTACATAATTTTACCATAAGGGTGAATCATACTTTAGTGTATAATCCCTATTAATGAACATTGCTTTCTGTTTCTAAATTTTGTTATTATAAATAAAATACAAAGTATCATCCTTTGACAGAAAACATTAATTAGTCTTTAATAAATTGTTTTGGTCAAGGTAAATCATATTAATTGTAGAAAATTTAGAACATGCATAAAAGAAAAATACTTAAGTCAATCAGTCATAATTCTATCACTGAGAGGTATTTATCATACTTTTTTCAGCCTTTTTCTATAGGTTATGTGTTGGGGGGGTGTGTCAAGATGGGACTATGTGGTTAGTTATTAATTCTTAGTGTTGTAACAGCAAAGACACAGCCTTTGTGTTGGCCTAGTAATAATATCCTAAGCGCTTTACGTAGGGTAATTTATTTAATTCTCTCAAAAGTCTTACGAAGTAATATTTTTATAATTCCCATTTTATAGATGAGGAAACTGGGGCACAGAAAAGTTAATTTCAGAAGTATCAGAACCAGGATTCAACCTCAGAGCCTCTACTCTTACCCATTATGTGAGGGGACTTCGGTTAGAGTTCACACTATGCCTGGGGTAGATCTAGGAATGGGAGCCTGACAGCCCTAAAATTCTCTGCTTGACTTGAATTTCTGGGCTGATAGATTCTTGCCTAGAACTCCTTTAGTTCTCCCTTCCCATTCCCTGAGGAGACAAGGTTTAGTCTCCCGCCCTGTTAAATTTACCTGTCCTGTGATTCTTTTCCTCAGGGCTGTTGCTCTGCTGATCTGATAAACTAATCTGAGCTAATGCTCAGTAATGGGCTAATGTGTAGCCCCTCAAGGGTAAAAATATATCTGCATGTGAAGAAAGACTTTCTGGAGCCCTGTCTGTTGCATAAGTACTTGGGAAACTGAAGAAAGATTTTGGGGCAGGTGTCCCTGAAACCATTTAATTGACAAATTTCTTAAAAATCTGGCCCTTGTTTACACAGATAGAAGATTAT